TGCTTTTCAGCTCCAACTAATGCAAAAAAACAAAAAGTTGAAAAAAGTGAAACTGAAACACAAATCAAAAAGCAACAGCAAACAACACCTAATACTCCACAACAAAGCGTTAAAAAAGCTCAACAACAAACAACTCCAACAAGTGCTACTCCAAAAAAAGAGCAACAAAAGATACCAGCAGCGACAGCAACAAATGTCATAAAAAAAGAAACACCAAATGCAAAACAGCAGAAAATTTCTGTTACGCCACAAAAAGGACTAGTTCAAAAACAAAATGGGGCAAAAAAACAAATAACTAACGAAGAAGATACTGATGACGATGATGAGGTAAGCTTTAAATGCATGTATTCCACACTTCGGATAGTATTCTTGGGGCAATTAAAGCTTTTTTACAGCACTTGTTGATTATTCAACTCATATAAAATTACTGAAAAATATACCTGATCTTCATAAAATTAATTTAGATGAGTCTTAGTAAACTTGCTTTGTTTTTATAGGAAATGGACTTCGATGAAGATGATTCAGATGAAGATTCGGATAATGAAGAAGAGCAAAGACTGAAAAAAACGGTCGCAAAAATGGTTGGTGCACAGGTGAGTGTTATTAATTGCAACAGACACTATGTGATCAAGTCTGAAAAATGTTGGTTCTTGTTGAAAGACTGTTTATTTCCGTTAATGTTATCCTAGAATGTGTTCACACTCGCTTTACAATATTCGTCTAATATTTTTTGTTTACAGGGTGCTAAAAAACAAAATGCATCGATCGGGGGAATCAATGATGATGTAAATTAAAAATCTAGAGTTGAAGTTTCATTCTTATTATATTGCGCTTGATATTTATATTATAGGATGAGGATGATGATGATGATGATGATGACGATGATGATGATGACGATGATGACGATGAAGAGGATGATGATGAAGTAAGTTGAAAAATTGTAGTATAACATGAAATATACATTTTCTTTTTAAGGATGACGATGATGAATGATTTTATTCGAAATCTCCAAATCATGTGATGCTATTAGACTAAAATTACTCTGATAAGCCATAATTGGCTTTTTCTTGTTATTATTATTATTATTAATTGTATTTCATACGTTGTTCTTTTTCTTCTTTTGTATTCTATTATTCAATTTTTGTTTCTCTTTTTCTTGGTAATTCTGTATGTGTGTGTATAAATGATCATTCAATTTGTTTTGAATTGTTCAGTTTTACTTTGTTTTGTTATTGATTGCACCGCATGAGTTTCAGAATCATACATATAGACCACATTTTGCTTGTAGTTTTTTTATACAACACTGAAACAAAGGTTGAAGTTGCCTTTAAGTTGTTTTTTTTTATATAGAAAACAAAATGAACATTGGCAATTAACAACTAAAAAGACAAAAATCAGAATGAACTTTTATTTGATCTTCTGTTTCATCAGAATGTGGATGTTTCTTTATATTTGCCTTTTTGTGGCCGTTCACAAAATACTTTAATAAAAATAATAAAAAAAATAACACTGATATGAAGTACGTCAAGAAGACAACAGCTAAGGCAAGCAAACTTTATGGTTTAAATGTTCTGTTACGCACTGGCTGTCAAATTCACAGGGGTGTTAGTTTTTTTAATCCCTGTTTAGTTTGTGAAATGCAGATAGATTTTGATTGCAATGAATGAAACAATTCTAGCGGTTAAAGACTGTTAAATCTTTCAAATACATAAGCACAGTATTGATTTAAGAGACATAGCAAAATCATGAAAGAAACAAAGAGAATTAACGTAAAAAAATACAAAAGAAGTTGCTGATAGTAAATATACGATTAAGGAATTGCACATGATCTTAATCATACAAAAAAATGACCTAGTTAATCACAAGTTGATTCCCTATTCGAGATAAAATGAAAAAAAATATCAGACTTGTTAATGCTGCGTTTCATTACTCTTCAGAAATAAAAAGCAGAAAATCTTTTTCGTTGCAATGAGTAGGTTTTCTGATCGAATTCCACGCGTGTTTAACAATACAAGAAAAACTAGAGTTCACCTTCTTAAATCAATTCACTCATCTTACTAATACCACTTCTCCTTACTTCGAGTCGTACCGAATTTTCGTTACTGTTCACACTATAATCGCTTAATAAATCGAGTAATATGTGAAATTTTCTTTTTTTCTATAACGTTTTATGTTTTGGTAATGGAGACCGAACATTTTAAAGAATATTTACTGATGACAATGTGGTTGTAGTCGTCCTTATGTCAATACATAAAGAACTTCGAAGTATCATATTTACAACAAGCAAATTCGATACGATTATCTAAAAGAAGGGAAACATTTGGTAGAAGTGAACACACAAGATAAAACAGCGAGTAAAAATGGTTATTCAACGAAGTTTTTCTGCAGCAAAATTAGAACATTCTCCAGATTTAAAGAGTGCAGATTTCAGTCTTCTTATCTTTCTATAAAATAAAAACTATTCTAAATACTATCCTTTAATTTCTATCAACAAACATAATATTTACATCCTTTTCTATAATAGAGATGGAAAATAGAGAAAAATTATTGAAACAAAAAAAGACATTCACATAAAGACTGCTAATTGGATACCGCTATGGAAACAGGAGCAGAATCTTCACCTAAAGCAGTCGACGTATCAGAAGCAGTTGAGGCTGCTGTTAACAAAGATTGGTCGGTCGCATACGCATCTTTAATATTCATTGCTGATGGAACACTCATTTTTAATAAATTTCCACCTTCTGCTGATGTTTGAGTTCGATTTGTTTCTAATCGTTGAGATACGGCATCTAAATCAGCTGAAAACCGATTCAACGCATCACGAAGACGTTTTAATTCTAATGAGTCAATTGTCTTTTGTGCCGCTGATGTTGTACGGGTCGTTGTCGCCGTTGTAGATGAAGTTGTTATATTTGAATCAACCAATTCCATTGTTAACTCTGCAATACGCTTGAAACAATTACCTAAAACATCAAATATATCGTATGAACTCAGCAGATGATATAACTGTATGAAGTGAAACGATAATTACCAGTTTCTAACAGAACATCGGCAGCTTTTGATGAGAGATTCATCGTTTTTCTTTTTCACAAGCTCGGTACCTACTAATGAATAGATATAAATTATCAGAAAATGGTACCGAACACTAAGTCCTGCTATATGCTAAACTTCGTCGAGCGATCAAAGTTCCAATAAATTTTTCTTACGATATGTCTCTATTTTCTCGTTTAATTCAAACGAAAGGAACAATTGAATGGATCGATGAAGTTCCTTAGGAGAATTTACAGAACGGTGAAGTACTTCTCATGCTTTAATACTGTACAAAGAAGGTATTCGGCAAAATCGACCAGTAATCATTCGTTCCGAAGTTATCATACGTAAAATTAGTCTTGTTAAGATACAGAAGAAAAAAGTTCATATATTCATCATTTTCGATATAACTTTGGCACGGTGGGGGAAGTTTTATGAAGCAACTCTAAAAATTTAGCTGATAACCAAAAAAAAAGCAAAAAAGCTTTTAACTTTTCAGAGTAATTTTTGTTTTAGTACGAGTAAATTTTTTAAAATGAGCGGAGTAATTTTTTTCAAACAGGGAGGAGGAATTCCCCCATCTAATCGGAAACATATTACAATCATAAATCATAAAATAAATAAAAATCATATTACAAAGAAACAAAGATGCAATCGATTTCTCTTTTAAATCAAAAGGATAAAATTGTGGTTCTGAGTTTTATTTAATCTCGAAGTGTAATAAACTAAAAAATACCATTAACACTGGCAATAAGATCATTATGTTCCTTCACTTTAATTGTCAAAGCAAGTAAAAGAAAACATAAACAGCTACCATGTAAACACGTATGAATAAGGGAGACAGGAGTTTCTCACGACAGTTGCTCTTTCTCAAGTTCGTTTCCTATTCTCTGACATTACAAAGGAAACAAACAAAAATGTTGCAAACTGAAAATTGACCATTTATCAAAAATACAACACAGAAGTCTGTGTCACATTCCTTCTGATGTATGCTAAAAATATACACTTCGATTAATCTTGTTCAGTTAGAGTATGGTTTGGAATTAAAAGTTAGGTCTGAACTCAGTTAGACGTAATTTTCAGTTATAAGGGAGATGTCCTATAAACTATGCACTAAGCTGTTTTGTTAACGAGTGTTCGTAATGGAATGAACAATAAAAAGATAGCTGTAGTCGACGACCGCCACGTTAAAAACGACTCCCAACATCAGATCACGAAATTTTGAAATATTTTGAGAAGTTGGGGGTAAACACAAAATTTTTTTGATAATTATCCAACATCCCGAGCATCATCTAAAGATACGTTTCTAGCGGATAACTCAGGACTACGTTACAGCATTTGATTACTAGCTGTCTTTAATGTCAGCGCACTTAACTCTCAAGCAGATGATTGGTAGTCTTTGTCATAAAAGCTGCACCACTAAGAGTAGAGGAAAAAATCTCCGAGAGTATCTTTAATTCATCAACTTTGGTCGTACTAATTTCAGTGGAATTTTTCATAAGAATTTGAAATATATTTTAAAAACATTGGTATACAATAAAGACATTAATATCTTACGCCCTCTATCGAGATCGATAAACTGGTAGTTTATTGGTGCTGTGTTATGTGCATGGGCACTGAGCTGCCAAAAAATAACAATTAATGTAAGTGTCACAATTGTATTTTTAATAATTTGTGTACATGGTAGAATATTCAAGTCTAAGGTTGCTCCTATCACATATTGGACATAATGAAAGTATCGTTCATCTCGCTGCAGCATGCTCTGCAAAAGTATACAATGTTAACCAAGTTTGAGTACACCATTAAGGCCTGGTCTACACTATGACAGTTAATTTTGAATTAAGGAATCTAACCGGACTTGCTAAGGAGCAATACCAATCAGACTTCTTTACTCAGAGTTAACTCGCGTAGTGTAGATACTGTATAAGAAACTCCAACCGTAACTGAAAATCTTCCCAATAAAACTGCTGGATTAAAACATAATTAGGGAAAAATCTGACGTTACTTTTCTGTTCGTTATTAACTAAATCAAAAATTAGTAAAAAGAAAATTAGTATACGCTTTGTCCATTATCTGATGTTAATGTACAGTCTATGTTTAAGAGAATTCAAAGCTCGCTCGTTTCTGACGCGTATATTATAATATTGGATGTATGATATTCGACATACATGTTAAATATTTTTATTTGAGAGATCGGTTATGTCTACTCAACTGCTAAGCTTCGACGTCATTTTTTCTCTTTAATATAAATCAATAAAAGATCGCACATGCAGATTCTGGACGTCTCATCCATTTATTTGTTTTACTCTATAAGACCATGCTCGTGTCCACATTGAAGCGAGATGTCATGCTTTTAGTGCATCATGGATTAAAAGCGAGGCGTCGTTCAACTTTTATCTAACTCACTAAACGTTAAAGTCACTTTTTGTCAACACAAACGCTTTTTTGTCACCAGAATATAACATCGTCACGGTATAAAGGCGTCATTATCATCTTATTGAAACTGACTTCTAGATGATGATGTCATTCATTTACCCTGGCTTCATGATTTTATCGTCATTTCCTTTTACAGTATACATTTTGTGCATCATACTTCGACTAAAGTATCATCTATGATGATGACTTACTTCATTTAGATTACTGTATTTAAAACATTTCGTTACCTAATACCGTGTGTTTTATATTAGTCAGTTTAAATTCCAAGCATATATAGATCCGTTACAGTTATGAACTCTAAGCTTTCATTACTTATTTGCTTTATTTTCAGATAACAAGTTAGAAGAATGCCAACACCTACACAAACATCGATCGAAAATGCCGCAAAAAAGGAGGAATTATCATTAGAACAAGAACAATCACAATCATTTTCCCCTTCAAATAAAATCGAAAAAGTTGTTGTACATCCACTCGTTTTATTAAGTGTTGTTGATCATTTTAATCGTATGGGGAAAATTGGTCATAGTCAACGTGTCCTCGGAGTGTTATTAGGCTCCTTAAAAAACAAAATCTTAGACATTTCGAACAGTTTTGCTGGTAACAAAGATTCTTTCTCTTCTTCTAAATATATTCTCATTCATCTGTATACTTTTTTTAGTTCCGTTCGACGAAGAAGAAAAGGAAAAAGATGTTTGGTTTTTAGATCACGAATATTTGGAAAATATGTATACTATGTTTAGAAAAGTAAACGGTAAGTATCTTCATGTGTATACGAGTCTGACTGTTCAATATATTAATTTTTTTAGCACGTGAACGTATTGTTGGCTGGTATCATACTGGTCCAAAATTACATCGAAACGATATTTCTATTAACGAATTAATACGTGCATACAATCCAGATTCTGTACTCGTTATTATCGATGCTAAACCAAAAGATCTTGGTTTACCAACGGAAGCATACATTGCCGTAGAAGAAATTCATGATGTAAGTAAAACTTTTTATTGATCAAAATCTCATAATTATATTCATGACATGACATCATATTGATGTCATGAAAAGTATAAAAGTATATGAATGGATTGTAACAGAAAAATATAATGTATATATAAATCCAAACAGTAGAACACGAAATTTTATAAACAATTATGAGTTAAAAAGAATTTTTCTTCTTGAAATTTGATTTGTGTTTTAGGACGGTAGTCCAGCGTCAAAAACATTTGAACATTTGCCATCAGAAATTGGTGCCGAAGAAGCGGAAGAAGTTGGAGTTGAACATCTTTTACGGTAAATTTTTTTTCTTTTCTTCTCTTTATGAAATATATATATATATAAATTCATTTGTATATATTATTTTAGTGATATCCGTAATGCAACAGTTGGAACATTATCTCAACGTATTACAAATCAACTAATGGGTTTAAAAGGTCTAATGAAAAGTTTGAACGATGTTCGAAATTATTTAGATAAATTACTAACAAATAAATTACCGATGAATCATCAAATATTATCACATATTCAAGATATGTTTAATTTATTACCCGATATAAATCAACAAGATTTAACAAAATCAATTTATGCTAAAACAAATGATGAAATGTTACTAGTTTATCTTTCATCATTAATACGTTCTGTTATTGCATTACATAATTTAATTATGAATAAAATACAGAATAGTGATGCTGAAAAATCTGACAATGCTGCAATTTCAGGTACAAGTGGAACAGTAACGGCAACATCACAGAATGATAAAAAAAGTGAAAAAGGTGCCGGTGATAAAACAACATCAAATAATAATAGCGCTAATAATAATAGTAGTTAACGAACGTTGCTCATCCCCTCAGACTGATTATGTGTTCAACACTAAAAGAAGGGAAACAAACAATTAAGATTATGAGTTTTGTTGTTCGTTTCGTTGTTTTATAATTATTAAAGATTTTTTTTTTGTTTTCTGTTAATAAACTCGAGAAAGAAATATAACTAAGCTTCCAGATGAATGTAGACCGAATCATTTATAATAATCAGAACCAAAAAGAAAAAGTTCATTGATGTTGTAAATTCACTGTGCTTAGTTTTACAAATTAAGGATGTCAAGCGACTATACCAGTTCTTTGGACTGACTACAGATTTACAGCGTATTTACAGTTCTGTGTGAATTTTATTCATTCTTCATAGATCAAAACTACAACTATTGTTGTCGGTGCAGTGTTACATCCGATATTGAATTAAAAAATAGCCATTCTATATATTATATTTTAGATTTTTTTCTTATTTATCACGTGCTGTTGTTTTATTCATGCAATTACGAATTTTAACACTGAATATTTGGTAAAAGAATGTTATACATGTTTGAATTTGTATATTTGATAATTGTAGTTTCATTTAGGGGTGTACGCCGTATTGCCAAATATATTGATGAAAGAGTCAAAGCATTAATTAAATATTTAAAAAATAAAGACTCTTATTACGATATTATTGGATTACAAGAAGTAAGACTATTTTTCTTTTGTTTATTTTTAGTTTTTACTATTTATTTATATATGTTTAGGTATGGAGTAAACAAGATTATATTTTAATACGTGATCAACTGAAATCAGAGTATCCTTATAGTCATTATTTTCTAAGTGGAGTAATTGGAAGTGGTTGTTGTGTACTATCGAAGCATCCGATTCTGAACGTTTATGAACATCGTTATACACTGAACGGTAAGACTGAAGTTCATGTAGAATAGAATTTCTATTTTTAGTTTTTAGGTTTTCCTCATAAAATTCAACATGGTGATTGGTTTTGTGGTAAATTAATTGGTTTATGTATAATATCGTGCAATGGTTGCATTATTAACGTTTATAATACACATCTACATGCCAATTATCATCACGTTATACCAGACGATATTTATTTAGCACATCGTGTATGCCAAGCATACGAATTAATACAATTTATTGAATCAACATCATCAAACTACAAAACAGATTTAGTTGTATTACTTGGTGATCTTAATTTAACAACTGATGATTTGGGATTTAAATTAATTAAACATATATGTCAATTTCACGACAGTCATGATGAACGAATTCGTACAGTAAGATCGATAGTATCACTCAGTTGCGTTTCTTTAATCGACAAACGGAGATAAGCAGTAGTTAAAAGAAGAGACTAGAATAATTGAGGATATCTAGATGCCAGTACAAGCAGTAGTTATTTATTCTGACAGCAAATTGGATTAGCTCATTACATGCCGTTTATAGATGAATATATAAAAAGAAATATTCAGAAAAGAGAACGAAAGCGAGAGAGAGAGAAAAAAGAAGCACACTTCGAAAGTGATGCCAAAGGCAAAAGACATTGATCGTAATAAGAAAAGTGATTATTAACAATAAATAACAGAAAGAAATTTTTTGCATCAAGTAAGTCGAGTTGTAGAATACCACGAAAAATTAAACAAATTTTTTGGAGCGTATTATTTATAGAGACGATCCAGTATCTAGTATAAATAAAATTTCTATATATAGTTGGATGGATTGATCTTTTGTTAGAGAATAATAGAATGAGTTGGTAAAAAGATGACTGACTATCACAGAGTTTGTGTTTAAAACTACGTCATAACTGTTTAGTGAACAATTTCTTTGTGTTACATAATTAGAGTAAATGAAAAAGACGAGTAGAAGATTCTGTGTTCTATCTAGATGCGGATACAGGCACGTTTACAAGTTTCTTTTTAGGCAAATCATAATTATGCAGGATAAAGTCTAGTCTGAAGCGGAAGAGAACGACACTGGACATTCGGTTCTAGAATTTCTAACATTTATTTCATTTGGCAATGTGTGCCAAAGTTTAATGGAGGCAGAAGATCGCCAATACCATTCATAATTTTGCAGAATAACCAAAGACTGTATATCGAATAAATCATGTTTTATCACAATGAAGTAGCTATTTTTCTTCAAGAAGAAAATAATAGTCCGGTCTAGTTTTTTACAAACTTTAACGTGGGAAGTATCTCTCAAAATCCTTAAAATAGCTCGTTCTACTTGATATTAGAGAATGTTGCGTTGTTTTAGACCAGTCTCATCCTATATGGATAAATGACACAAAATAATTAATTTTTTCTAATATAAAAGCATTGTAAATCAAGAGCTACTCCTGATAAAGTTTGGCTTTCAGCCTTCCAGTACCGAATAACTTGTTTGCTAGCTTTTACTTTCGTGAATTAAGGACAAATATGACCCTGATTGTCCAAATAACGGTTATACATGCGATTTACCTGACAATCCTTTTGCTACACCACTTAAGCACTCGAAAAATGGTCAACGAATCGATTATATTTTGTATCATGCTCGAAACAGTAAGTCACTATCTTTTCTCATAACTTTATCATGAATCTTTTTTCTTTTTAAGATAATGTCAAATGCATTGAATCATATACGACATTAAATAGAATTCCGAATAGCCGTTTATGTTATTCTGATCATCTTGCTGTTTATTCTCTATTGGAAATTGATGAAAAAGTAAAATTTCAAGATATTGTTTCTAGACAGAATAATCGTGAACAAAATGATGATGTATTAGACAATGAAACTAGAGATTTATTGGAGTCTGCTGTTTTAATTATTAAAGCAACAGTTGAACGTATTCAACGTGATCGTTTATGGTACGGTATCATTGCTCTGATATCGTTAATATTTTTATTTTTGTTTAATGGAAATCCAACAACAAATTCTATCTACTATTCAATATTAATGTTAATTAAAAACTTGCTGTGTTTAATAGTTATAATTGGTGGAATATGGCTTGTGGGTTTGGGAAAACCACATGAACGTAACGCGTTAAGTTCAGTTAAAAATGCTATGTCTATTCGTTTAAAGGCACCACAATTTTTCCATTAACAATTTGAGTTTGATAAAAAAGTATGTACAATTTTTCTCGACATGTCGACCAAAAAGTTAAAGCAATATTTTCTGTAGAATTGTATATATTAATACAGCATCTAATTCAAATTTATTTTCCTTGATATAAATTGATATTTTTAATTATTTTCATTGATGTTTTTTGTTTTTTGTAGAAGTGCAATAAACATATTTATGCTTGACATATAATTTGTGGTTTAATCGATTGTTTCGAGTTTAAAATAGAGACAAAAAGAGAGTTTTCAACGATATAATACCCGTTCATCTCTAGTAAGCGTTTTTGTAAGTGTCATATTACTCACGAGTGCTCGCTTCAAGTACACAAGAAGGTGATTTGAATCATATACGATTTATTCTTGGTGTAAGTTTTGTCTGTGTGTCATTTAGCACTACTTACAATATTTTTGGATATTAGTTCATTTGCTTCGCTTGGATTGAGAGTTAATATTGAATAATACTGACCATATTTTAGGATAAGATGGGAAACTATATTGATGAATTAAGATAGTCTGCTAACTCTATGCTTTTCATAATTAGTCGGTACCTTTGGACTTTGGTTTTCTTCTCGGGAAAAGGTATCTCAGCTAGGCTTAGGAAGTCGTTTATCAGCAAACTTCTTTGCCATATTATTAATTAACCATTATTGTGATTTATTTTACTTTTTCAATTGGGTTAAAAATGTTTAATTTTATTTACAAAGTTCGATGGTACGTTAAATTCACGATAATTTTTAGATTATTTTGAAATGGTCCTGTTTTTCCTCGTAATTGGTCTAACGTTCACTATACTGTTTGATTTATATATCAGTTCCACGAGATTTTATGCTATATTTTCGGCATTTTTACGCCTTCTATGCATTATTATTGCTCTCGTCTATCGATCTATTTATGATAATTATGACAGAAAAGAAGAACAAAAGAATACGAAAATAAAACGTGGAAAATTTTGGACTCAATTTAAAAACATTTTTTTAATTATTGGAACATTAATGCAAAGTTCAACAATTTATTATCTTCTGTCATCTAAAGAACAACTCTCAATTTACAAATGGGTATTATTGACGTTATTTCAAATGTCCATGCCGTTATTCACTTATCTATGGATCAAAAGAATTGAAAAAGAAGATTTAAGCTATTTACAAAATATTTGGTTTGAAATCTTTGCAGAAAAACAAGATTCTAACAGTAAGATTATCTCTATGTAAGATTATCCTTTATTATATTGATATTTACTAAAAATAGTAAGAATTTTCAAATGATTTCCTTACTAAACATACCTTCTAAGTTTAAAAGCTTAAGGTTCAATTAAACAAAAATAAAACATATTTTTTATTTTCTCTATGATTAACTGTTGACTCATTACAATTGCTTTTTTTCGTTCTTTTTTTATTAGAACAAATAGACACTTATGTTTTTTTTGGCAATCAAATACTCGATTATATGTTTGAAACAGATTTCTTTTCACATACACATGCCTAATAGAAAGCAATAGAAATAATATTTTGTATTAGAAGTTATTTTGAGAAATGATACCCCCTGTTATAAACTATAAAGATAACTTTTGATAAAAACAAAATGGCTCCTGGAAATTATCAAACAATGGCTGATGGTGATAATGAAAATGATTTAGCCAATAACAAACTATCAAAAAGTAACACATACAAATTGTTTTTTTAGAGAAAGATTTATTATTTCTTAAGAATAGAGATCAATTTTTAAGCTTGCTAAGATTTTAAAATTAGATTTTTTTACCTCTTCAAGTTGATTTTTTATAATTTCTGTATAGGATGAATTATGTTCTCTTCTAGTTACTTTTAGAATTCAAGCTTATTCTGTCAGTGTGTATAAATTACATTGCTAGCAATAACATTTCTAACCTTTTCATATTTCGGCTTATGCTAACGATTTTCTGATAAAAAAAATTTGAATAATTTACTTTATCGATTGTTTTCTATCTAACAAAAAAAAAAAAACAATGCAAAAGTGATGTTGAATGTACCGATGACTTCTCAATTTCTTTTGTATTTCATTATAGTTATAGTTGAATTTTACGATGAGATTTTTTTCCTGATATTTGAAATACGATCTCTACTTCTACTTATCTATCGATAGTGTAAATTTTGTTATCTATTGCAAAAAAGAAAAAAAGAAGAAATGTCGATTTACAAAAATGCGTTCATCCCATTTTTATCTGTTTTTCAAGTTTCCATCCGTCTTAGAATTATAAAAGTAGACTATAATGAATTTTTTGCTTCTCATTTGTCACTATTACATGGACAAAATTATAAAATTTTAATTTAACCAAAAATTAAACATCTAGTGGACAATTTTAGATTTTGTTTTGTTTTGTTTCATTATTTATTAATAATGAAAAAATTGAGAAAAACAGGTACGAATTTAAGTCTAATTTTAAAAATAAAACTATTGAATTGTTGATGTATAAAACATAGCTTGTTAGTAATGTGTTGTTAATATATTGTATAGCTATGAATGTTTTAAAATAATATTTATACATAATTTTAATTATTGTATATCCGCTTTCCCATTATTTATTGTCCGACTTTTCAACAAATATATTTTAATATTTTCTCACAATTTATAATTAGTTTATCGCATGGTTTAGTGTCATTATATGTTTTTATAAGATTTAAAATTTTGAATGTTAACTGTTTTTTGATCATTTGACTTATAGTCAATAGTAGACTCTTATTAAAACACAGTTATACATGTGTTTTATCCTATGGTGTGTTTATTGTTTCTTAGTTTGTTCTTAGTATGTATGTTATAAAAAAATCTTTTGAATTGAATATCTAAATTTTTCTTTTTCTCTTTTTTCAAAAGATTCAAAAACTCATCAAAAGCATCAACGACGCGTATTGAAACGTTTATTTCGATATTCTCTTCCCGATTGGAAATTAGTATCCGTTGGTACTGTTCTATTATTGGGCGCTGCTTTATGCAAGTAACAATCTTTTTGAAATGCGAGAACCATAGAAATTTCTAAAAACATAAATTATTTTTCATTTTAGCTGATGTATTTGTACCATTATATACCGGTCGATTGTTGAGTAGTGTTGCATTCAAAGAAGCATGGCCTGAATTTAAACAAAATTTGATTATGTTTGTTATTGTCAATTTTTCTCAGTAAGAATTTTACATTGTTATTATCATCATTGTTTATCTATTTATGGTTTTGTAGAGGTTTTTTGGGTGGCTTTCGTATTGGAGTGTTTGCAATATGTGTTTCACGTTTGAATATGCGACTAAAAACAAAATTATTTCAATCATACCTTAAACAAGAAAGTAGGAAGCCATTTCAATCTCTTGTATTATTTAATCTATATTTTTTTTATACCTTTAGTTGGATTTTTTGATACTCATGAAAGTGGCAAGTTATTATCGCGATTAAATCAGGATACTCAAGTCATGAGTTCTATAGTAGCAAATAATATAGCTCAATGCGCTGGTGCCTTGGTAAAATTTGGTATGATCTTCTCTTCTCATAAGTTTAGCTTAGTTAGATATAATAATATGATCGCTTCGTTTTAGTCGGAACATTAATTATGATGATTAAACTATCCTATCATCTTACAATAGCTTGTTTAATTGGCGCACCCTTGATATTAATAGTTGCAAAAATTAGTGGAACAGCACATAGAGTAAGTATGATACATTTGAATGATAGTTAAGGTTTCAGAAATACAAACGTTGAGCAGAAAATTGTTTTCGTTGAAACTGATTCAACTTATGTGTATTTCGAAATTTTTAGTTGATTTTCACTTTTGGGTGAAAATCTCGATAATTTTTCAACGTGAAACTTCAAAAAAATTAAAGTACTCGGATAGGATAGAAATACACATAAGTTGATTCAATTTTTGATCTTTGATAATATTTGTATTACATCAAAGTTGAGGTTTGGTGAAGAAAATTGAGAAGTACGGGCTGAATGCCGACTTTTTCGCCACTGATTTAGAAAGAATGAATTTTTCCAGCAATGAAACAAAATTTTGCCAAACCGTGATATAGTTTTATTCTCTGTCGATTGACGAATCGAATGATATATGAAAGATGCAAATAACTCTTGAGGCAAAAAAGGGGACAGATTTGCAAGATCCAGAGATCAGTGTGTACTTGCAAGGCCCTATTGGAGCTTGTTGAACCAGAGAGTTACGGTGAAATTCGCTCGCTACCTAGCTTATCGTACTCAGTTTTTGATGCTGAATTCGAATAAAGTAGTTTCAAAAAAGTAGAGTCAGCGCAAACAAGCGCGAAATCTTGAATTTTCTTGAGATTCATCAGATTTTGCGTTTTTTTAAAGATTTCTCACCCAGAACATGTTTGAAAAAAATTGTAAATGACAGGCATATTCGGAATCAGCTCGACGAGCTCTATCGAACCATGTATAAATCAACGAAAATAATTTTCTACCCAACTTTTACAATTCCGGCACCTTACGATAAGCCGTTGTGTTTTTAGCGCGTATCTGAGAAAGTGCAAACTTTATCTGCTGAAGCATCAGAAATATGCGAAGAAACAATACAAACCATTCGTACAGGTAAAAATCGTAGAATTCTGTTAGAAGTCACATTGTTCTAGTGCATATTTGGTCGTTGTAGTAAGAAGTTTTGGTAATGAAGATGGCGAATTGAAAAATTTTATTTCAATTTTACGTCAAGCTTACAAAATATCTCTTATTCAAGCAGCAATATCAGCAGGTCAAAAATGGTTTGTAGAGGTAATTTCATAACATGATGCTTTTCTTTGTTTTTGTGTATGCAGTTAGATTTTCTTATGTAAACGTTCTGTAAAAACATTTTTTTCGCTTTTAGTTATGTCAGTTGGGTATGAGTGTCGTTATGTTATCATATGGCGCAAAATTAGTACGAGATAATAAAGTGGCGGGTCCAGATTTACTTGCGTTCGTTATTTATCAATTGACACTCGGTGCTATATTATCGGTATACAAATAGAATTATTCTCATAGTTTAAATAAAATAAATTGTTGGCTCTAATTTTTAGGATATATCGCAAATTTATACGTCAATGATGTCAGCAGCGGGAGCAAGCGAGGCTGTATTCGACTATCTAGATCGGAAACCCAAAACGCTCGTCGGTAATAATCTGCAACCAGACGAATTTCAAGGAGAGATTGAATTTCAACAAGTATCACTAAACTATCCGGCACGTCCAAACGAAATTGCTCTTGATGTACGATAAATCTTTAATCTATGTTTTTTATGTTCAAAGAGTATTCGAATTTCAGATGCTTTTTATGGTGGAATATTTTTAAACACCCCATCGGCTCCTTTGTAAATACCTAGTTTAAAAGACTTTGTTTTTGTTTAGAATATTTCATTCAAAATTGCATCCGGTCAAATTTGTGCGTTCGTTGGTCCAAGCGGATCAGGTATGGAGCATCATTGAGCCGTATTTATTACATGCAGATCTTTTTAAATTAACAATATTTAGGTAAATCCACTTGTATCAATCTTCTGGAACGGTTTTATGATCCAGGTATGGGAAAAATACTTATCGATGGGTAAGCTATATATATTTGTTCGACAATATAGTTTAATCGATATTTTTCTCTCGTTGTAGACACGAAATTGCAGATTTTGAGCATAAATATTTGCATAAAAAAGTAAATCATGTTCAGCTAATATTTTCTACAATTCTTTAAATGTTTTTAACTTAGATCGCCATGGTTAGTCAAGAACCGGTATTATTCAATCGATCAATTCGTGAGAATATTGCCTATGCATTGGATGATGAAGTTAATAAAGAATTATTAACTGCAGAAATAATTGACGCAGCTAAATTTGCCAATGCTCACACATTCATTACTGAGCTAGTAGATGGTTATGACACACAGTGCGGTCAAAGGGGTGGACATTTGAGTGGTGGTCAAAAACAGAGATTATGTATATCTCGTGCAATTATTAGAAAGCCAACCATTCTTTTATTAGATGAGGCAACGTCATCCTTAGATCCAGTAAATGAACGTTTGATTCAAGATGCTTTATTCGAAAATAAGAAAGAGAAACGAACAATCATTATATCGGCGCATCGTTTGAGTACAATTGAAAAATGTGACAAAATATTTGTTATTCATAAAGGGCGTTTGGTTGAACAAGGCACCCATGATGAATTACTGTTGATAAATAATGGCGTCTATCAAGAACTTGTAAGACGACAAAAAATGGATTTGAATGAAAATGAAAAAGAAATAGAATGAAGAATGCAAGATTCTTTTACACTCTGTAATATATTTTGTATCTATGTGTTGTATTTTAAATTACTATGAAGTTTTTGCTCGCAATATTTCATAAGTTCAAATAAATCTTTACCAAAATTAGACCATTTATACGGTTCATTCAATGAAAATCATAGAACCTTCTTCACTAATGTCATTTTATGGCGAATACTGGATTACTTGAATGTACTAATCTCGTCAAAGAGAAACTTTAGTGCTAGACATATCTCAGGAGTCCATTATTCGCCAGTTTGACTCTATGCAAGTTGAAGTAATTATTTCTGATGAGTGAGAAGAGGTAAAGGAGTATCCTCAAAATATTTGACTGATTCTATTAAATACTGATATGATTTAAATGTTATGTCACAATTAGAACAGTCTCCTAATGAATTTTCAAAATATAATGAAATAGGAAGTAAATTTTGTTTAAATGAAAGACTTAAAACTCAATCTTCTTATGTGTAAAAATAAATACGTCCTTGTATGTGATTTTCTCTGTTATCTATGCATTTTTTATTTGTGTTTTCTCATGGCATTAATCAAACAAATTGGTTTTTAGAAGTAATCCAGTGGATACAAAACCCCCCGTAAAATAAGTCAATTATCAACAGTACTAACTAAACTCCGTCACACCTTATGAAAAAATGGAGTTTTAATGATTTTTTTCTCTAACAGTTAGGTGTTATGCAACGAAAAAACGTGATAAAACAGTGAATGTTCTTTCCTTTACTAAGACGTGCCATAATTGCAGACCATTTCTAGTTCTATTTTATAATAAAAAAATTAAGTTATGCTAAAAAAATCAACATTTTTCCTTCCTTTATCATGATTCCTGAATCGAGTTGAAAAACTTGTTCATAATTTCCCAGCCTACATTATATATTTGTCGCAAAAAGAATGAAACAGCAGAACTATCATAATTATCTAACGCGGAAGTGTGAAACAGAACAAAAGAGAAAAAAATGAATGTAGGCAGTACTTGAGTATAATGTATGCCCCATATGATTTCTGTTTTGTCTTTTTCTTCTTCCTCTCTTACGTGGTGATCATCACCGATCATATTAGGTCTAATCTAATACATCAATTTACTTCATCCGCTTGGAAAATAATCTCTTTTAAAATGTAAGTACTACAGACATTCGGTCTTGATTAAGAAATTCGTCGAGTTTAATAAATAACTGTCTGCTTCTTCCACATAAAATGATCAAATACACTTTAAATTCACATTAAACGAACATGTGGCTTAAATAGCTGACATATTGTTAAGCACTATCGCATGTTTTTTAAAACGACAAAAAAATGCCAATTAATTGCGATAACGCATCCGGTTTAGTGCTAGGTTAGCTGCAGGTATTAATTGTTTCGTGCAATTCTTGTTTACTTTTGGCGTTATAATGGTTAGAAAGAATTTTTACAACTAATGCCAAGCTAACACTCAGACTTTTATTCGCTTCATTAACGCTCAATAAACTTCACTACTATAACTTTGAAACACGACTCAAATTAAACTCTTTCTCAAACTGCTAGATTTCAGATTAAATTAGAAGTATGAAAAATTAAATTCATAAAACATTTTTGACAAAAAGAAAAGACTTTCTTAGTTCAAACATTTCAAATTTTCTGAGAGATTGTCAATGAGAATTTCAAATTATTTTTGGATGAAAAGATACGATATCATATGACTTAGGTAAGTTATAAATAATCATGCGATAAACAACTGTAAAACTTTTAGCAGATAAGCACCATTTCAATTATTTCTGAGCTTCAATGATTTTCAAATTATAGATGGTCTCATATCTCACATTTTTATCGGTTTTAGACTTGGAATTAGAACCACCATGCTTTATCTTAACGAATGGAACCAAAGAATCAGAACCGTTGTTATCTGAAACCAATAACAGAGCATTCCTATTGATTAAAACATACATAAGATGTTTTGATGTTTATTGTAGGTGACGTGATAACTTGAAATAGAACTCCCAGATGTTGATCAGTAGCTTAGTCCATGTTAACAATCTCAAATTCCATTTAAGGTCTGTTTCATATTTTATTTGCTTCTTTTGAGATTCAAGACATTTTTAACAGAGAAAAATTACGAATTTTTTTGTCAATTTTTTTTTGTTTTGCTGAAGAAAAAATAAAGAAAACTTTTCAGTTGTGGAGTTCATCTTCAGGACTCCATGCAGCTTACGATAATGTTGATCATCAATGTGAAAATTATTGAATTGAATAAAAAAGTTGGCCAAGTGCACGTGATGTCTGCTATTGAGAATAATGAAGACGTTTTAAAAACGTTAAGAAATCTTCATCTATGATTTCCGTTGCATTGTGTCTTCTTCATGATCATCTCAGCGAATATAGATATCTTTCTTCTCTGTCAACACTATAGTTCATATACAATTGTTTAATAACAATATAGCAAATTAGAACCCTTTTTATCTGTCATCATTGCGTCTTTTTAAAAAAACTATTTAGTGTAAAAAAAGAAAGTTATTTCCTATTAAAAAGCTCTATCTCCATTGATGTTTTTTTCCATCTCATTTTTTTTTTATATTAATAAAAAAGTAATAATACAGGAACTGAAATTCAATGCTTTTTAACAAGCATACAGCTAATTTGTTTTAAAAAATTCGATTACCAATTGAAAAGAAGCTCTCAAAAATGCTCTACTCACATTTGAAAGATGGTTTCCTCTTCTATTTCAAAGATTGTATTGCAAATATCTTCTGCACTATTTAATAGACTAATGATCAAGCTGTCTTAAAAAGCTCTATGAGAATAATGTGCCCTCAATTGCACGATGTACAAGCTCAGTTTTTTTTTCAATTCTATGTAAATTTTAACTTGTTCTAAATATATTTTTTTCTCTTTTACAGTTTTCCAAGGAATAGACCACTAAGGGTATCTATTCCTTGACAGAATAAATTAATGATCGAATACGCTGTCATAATTCCTTCTCACTTTTTCTCAATTAATATCGGCCTTTCGGTAAGGCTATCGTTAATATTTCAATTTGTGAAAGATACACTTTTTTGGCTCCTCTTATGCAAAAGCGCAATATTGAATCCTTTACTAAAAACAGGGATTTATTTAAAATAAATTACATATATAATACACATGTAATTGATAACAAATAAATACATTTTTAATGTGCTTTGATATAAGCTTTATTCTTCCAGAATAAACGTACTTTTCTATAAGTCCTGAAAATATGTGATACAATGTTAGAATTTGAAACATATTTTATTTGCACTTTATCAACTGACGAAATGATCATATACCTTAACGGAACGATATGGCCTATGTTCATTACGTGAAGCGTTGATGTCTCATGAAATCAGAGGCTTCAAATACATTCACGGACATAGTTTTTCTGTGATACAAAGCATTCAAGCGAAATGAATCGGTATTTGCATGTCGTTTGAACAGTATTCTAATCTGTTCTCACCGGTCTATTTCCCACGTGTGTTGAGAAACTATTTTTTTGTTTTCAAAAAAAGAAATATGTTGTAATCGGAAGCTTTTTCTCTTCATGTTTTAACGGTTCCTATAGTGTGTATTTAGAATTCTATTGTTTCTTTTCTGTCAAGTAAAATATCAGCTGAAAAAAAAAAACATCCAAAAAATAGATTTCTTCTTTCGTGGCTAGACTACATATGTTATACAAGATCAGAAATCATGTTAAGTTTCTTAAAACGCGATGTCCTACAAAACTCACTAGAGTTTTGTGTTTTTTTTATTAAATAAACGAAGAGAAAAAAAAAGGAAAGATCCTAATAATTATATTTCCACCTGATTATTCTAAATATTTGAGAATAGGTCAGGGACAATCTCTCTCCTCCCTCTTTTTGTTCTTCAAAAACAAAATTTCTCTTTTTTTCTTACTTTCATCAAAATATAAGAGTGACATAAGTGTACGTGTGTGATATAAATCTATGAAAAGGTTTTAAATACTATTATTACTAACACGAATACCACCCTGTACGTCATTGAATATGTAATACCTACTTGTTTGTCACTTGTTACTTTCTCTTTTTTTTTTTTGCTTTTTTTCTTTTAAGGTTAAATAATATGAACATTTTTTTTAAGTAAAAATGAGAAGAGATTTTTTTTTAAATGCAAGTATGGTCGATTGAATACAAATATAAAAGTAAGATTTAACTACTGATGAATAATTTCGACTGTTCAGAAAATATGTCATATGGACACTTAGATAGAATTAGAAGATTCACTTTTTTTTGTTTGAGGAAATTAAGAAATACTACAGGTAGGATCAGTTCACGTTATTCCTAAATTTAAATCGAAAAATTTATTAAAAAAATCTCAAACCGAAACTAATTTCACATTTGAGAAGTACTAATCTTATGACTTTCATGCGAAAAGAGCTAAAATAATATATATATAAAAGTAGAATTTGTCAGTAACGTTTCAGTATAATTGACAGATTTCTGAATACTAGTAATTAATTAATGATGTATTAGCCTGAAGAAAAATGGTCTTACAAAGATTTCATTTCCTAGTCAATTATTCAACTAAATCTAAATTACAACTTGAAATGTATAGCAAAATTTTATAGAAATGCAAAATAAAAGCTATAGTAAGCTCTCTTCCGGCTACTAAGGGAGTTTCAATTAAGGTAAATAGTTCTACTATTATTAGATAAGATTTTGATAATGTCACGTTATTAGAGAAATATGAATAAAATATGATATAATTATGTGATTTCAATGATTTGAGGAAATCTAAGCAGTACTCAACATATCAAATACAAAATACATCGTTTCTACATTTCCGTTTCTATTTTTCTTCTAAACATAACATTTACCGTTGATGTTTCTATATGATTAATAATTTACTTGTTTTGTATAAAGACGAGATAGATAACAGATTATACTTTGCCATTATTCTTGTCTGCCGATTATATAGACGCATCTACCATAGTCTTTCTTTCTTTTTATTTATTATGAAATGAAATGATGATTATATATATTTGATTGAAATGTTTTTAATGGTAAAGAAAGATAGCAGTATACAAAAATCTATAGTTTTGATGCAGTTCATATTCTTCTTTTATTGTTCAGGTTTTTTGTTATTCTGTATAAACTATTTATATACAGTGAATTATCATGAACAAATCTTCACTATTTTGTCTCATGATGATAACGAGAGTTGCGGTTTGAAAAGTTGATTAGAACTATAGAGATTTATTCTTTTCCCGAAAAATAAAAATTATCTATACAAAGTGATTTGATGCTCAACTATAACTGATCAACGTTTTGTTTTTTCACTATTTATTCTACAACACGTAATAAAATCTATCCAACAAGAACAAGTGAGTTAAAATATCTGCTAATCTGTACTGATTGTATCTTTTTTTTTCTTCTTTTCTTTTACTCTCTCATCACTCGAATCAAAAACACCATGAGAAAAGAAATACTTTAACCTTGATGAGTGTGTTGAAGAGTTTCTGAAGCGGTGCTTAACTTTAAAAATACTCTAATAGTTCAGAATATTGGAAGATGATCATTCTTCTATTTCGTTTGAATCTCTTTTTAGAAATAACATCAAAATATAAAAATATATTTTTTTTCTTCTTTTTCGAACTACGCGAATCCATAATAGTTTTATGTGCAAGAACGAACAGTTGTTACATTTTTTAATGTCATCGATGACGTACTAAAGATTTTTGTCAAAGTCTGTTTTGTCGTTTTTTGAAAATATACATGGTAATGAATAAAGGACTGTAATAAATTTCATTATACAATAGGCTTATTTTTAACTTTTTAGATTGAAAATTATAAATTTGATACAATTCATAATTTCAATACTATATTTATTTTATTAATTTGTGTTATTTAAAACCAATAAGAGTGTATATGTATGTTAAAAACAACCAAACAAATAATAAACTCGTTACTCTCTTATCAGCCTTAGAAATCTGTTGTGCGACAATGTCGATATGAAAATATATAAATTCTCTTTTTTCCTATGATGTTAGAACAACAAACACGAATACTGTCATTATTAATGAAAAAATTGCGTGAAAAAGAGAGAAATATATTCTTGTCAACAACAGAAGAAGAAACATATAGATAAGAAATGCCATAGAGTTGTCGATATAAGCATGAACAAATAAAAATGAATTATTTTTCTGTTTCCTTTATATATGGCCGAAACATAATATGCAAATTGGGCTCGCTCTATCTCAACCTTTATATATATCTGTTTACCCAAATTATTACTAAAAAATAAGTTTTAATCATTATATACTATCCGTTAGAAAACCATAAAATGCGATCGAAAAGATACATTTTATCATATTTCCTAAGCAGATGAAATTCACGAGTGAGTCAATAAGTTTGATAAAGGATCTATTTTTTCTGATGGACGAAATGTACAACTGTCAATATAATGAATAGTTCTTTTTCCCTAAAACATATATCTTGATTTTGGTTAAAATTTCTAACCATCAAATTAAAGACATTTTTTCTAAAGTTATTAGTTTATATCTTGTTTCATCGCATATTATATGTTTATATGTAAAAGTATGTTGTTTCGATCTGATAAGTTGAGATTAATTCAATGTAGTGTAAAAAATAGAATATTAAAACACTATATTCACATTGCTGTAGTAAAAATAGAGAAAATGGATGTATTTTAGTAAGTGAAAACATCTCTGTTACAGTCTAATTAAAATTAAATGTAAGTTAGATTTCAAAGAATGTGTATATTTTCTTCAAAAAGTTCAAAATATATTGACTTTGAATCTGTTCAGTACATATAATTTTCGTGTTTTCAGAAAGGAATTCCATTCATTTGCATATGACGTTAAAAGCCAAGGACGCTCGTTTCTTATGCGTAAGAGAACGAAAGAGAGAGAGAGAGAGAGAGAGAAAAAGAAAGGAACAAAATATTTGTCATTCTTTGTACTACATGATATCTTTTTGGAAATCAGGCGAACGAAAAAAAAATAGAATGTAGAAAAACAATAACAATAAAAAATATTTAAGAAATAAATGATGATGAGCATAAATGAGTGAACATGTTTTTCTGTCAAATGTCAGCCATTAAAGATGGATGAACGTCTGACATGAATTTTTAAAGAAATAACTATGTCTCTATGAACGAGTGAAAGTTTGTGGACACAAAATGAATGTACTTTTTGAGTAAACAATAAAGCATTTGTAATTGATGATTCGTACAAGTTCTTAATTTTGAAATTAAATCAAAATTTTATTTGATAGAACATGAGTGACAGCGATCGAATTATAACAGTTTCAGACAATTCAACAAATGTACCTGTATCTGATTATCATCGAAACGAAAGCAGACAATTACCGTCAGATGATAGTAGGAGCATCGTCTAAATGGTAGAGTACGACGAACATTATTATTACTTTCGTTTAGATCGATATCGAACGCTATATGTTGGTGCACACATGCCATTTACTCCGACTGAAAGAAAACGAAAAGCGAAGAAAAGAGGACGTGGTTCATTCATAAGAGAATCGGATGGAACAAAAACAGACAACACGCCAACAGGTTCTTGACAATGACACTTCTGGTATGAGACGATGATAATGTTTTTTTATTCATTTCAGAACATCCAAGTCAGCGTGTACAGTTTCTTTTGGGTGCACCAGAAGACGAGGATGATGAAGACGAAGAACATAAACCTCATGATTTATTTATTGAATTAGATGAACTTGTGTCGCCATCGCCAAACGACGCTGCTTCTGATTCGGAAGTTGTTGAGCAAGGATGGAAAGAAACAGCTCGGTAAATATTTGACTTTTAGATTTCCTGTTGATAATTTCTATATTAAACGGGACACGCATGTCTTTAGATGGGTGAAGTTCGAAGAAGATGTTGAGAGTGGTGGCCGATGGAGCAAACCACATGTGGCAACATTATCATTACATTCATTATTGGAACTTCGAAAATGTCTTCTAACGGGAAGTGTCATGCTGGATATGCATGCAGAAAATCTTGGAACTATAGCCGGTCTGTGTCTTTAAAACATTAACCCAGCGCTTCATTAGATGCATTGCCCATATCTTTACAGACATGATTTTGGATGATATGGTTGCGGCTGATTCTCTTCCACAAGATAAACGACAACAAGTTCGAAATGCATTGATGTTAAAACATATCCATCAACACGAAAAAACATTTCATAAACATTTACATCGTGAAGAAGTCAAAAAACCATTACCATTCACCCGTTCATTAGCCGAATTTTCACGTAATCGATCTCAACATGACGTACCAAAAGTGAGTAGTCATGAACAAATGGCACCATCACAGACAATACCTTCATCGCCTCAATTACCTACGATTCCGCAAAACACAATATCACAAGGTAAGATAAAAAATAATTAGACAAAGTATGATTTGAAAATATTTATTCTTTATTTTACAATTCGGTAGACACATCAGCAGAGAAGTTCTTAACAGGTAACTGACGGACAAACTGACGTTGTGATTACCGTAACCAATGTTGTAATCACAAATTAACCCGATTCTCACATTTTTTTAACCTATATTTCTAATAAAATATCCAATGCAGACTTTAAATTTAATATTAGATCATGCTTTTAAGTTTTCAACTGTTAGAGTTTGCAAAATGATGCGTATATTATATTGCACAGCTAATACATTATATCATTGTGCTTCCTAAGCTTTTCAAAAGAAATTACCCAAAGTAACCTTAAAAATAATATCAAATTTAAAGAATTTTAAAAGACAATTGGTGTCATCTACAGACGTTTTCCTTATCCTCATACCATTTTTTTAAAGAATTTTACTTATGAGGAAACCACATGCAGTATTCTCTCGCTTTTTCTCGGAACATACTTAGTTATGAGCAATTTTCCATACTGATCAAAAAAGCTGATGATTTGAACCTACAGGGCTTATTAAAATCGTTCTTCCGTAATTGGGTCTCCAGAAACTCATTAAGGGTTCTCAATTACGCGCGTTCTTCTATAGCCAACTTTTACGGTAGCGCATTGGGCCACCACTACGTATGAATTTTCAAAACTAACCAATGTGTTTTTTCAAGTTTATTCTTGGTTTTCTTGATCGATTCAACGAAAAGTTTGAACGTTTTACCTTCTTTGATAGTAAATATCTTTTAAAACCCTAAAAACATGTTCAATGGTTCTGAAAGTTTATATATAACGGTAATTTGATGTGCTGATCATAGCAGAACGTATCTAACTGAGAATCCTTAAGAACCTTTAGAGATTCGATTCTACGATCAGCATCAAAAGTTGCTTATAATCAAGTATGTTCCGAGGAAAATCCGAGCGGATCCTTGGCATTGTTTCCTTACCCATGACATAATTTTGATGCTCTAACGCATGCGTTAAAAAGCTTTTTTTTCAGAAAATTCCTTTTGAACGATTCAATTTTCAAATATAATCCGTAATAACGTTTCTTCCGAGTGGTAGCGAGTTAGATCCGGTTAAATATGATTCTAAGTAATTTAACGGATTTCTACACATCTAAGTTAATGAGTTCACGTACATTCATATTTTATTCACACACACAAACGAATTTCAGCGAAATAGTTGATTTTAACTGGTTTGAATGAGTGCAAGTATCGAACGCATCTCTAAGCCTTCTGAATATCAACGCGTTCACATTCGTTATTATTAAAGTTATGAAATAATTTACTTATACTAAAACATAACGAATTCAAACACGTTAATTGTAGGTCCTATTTATCCGTTTCGACGCTTTACATTTCTGCAACTCGTTCCGATAACGTTAAACTATCACATTTAACAGGTTAGAATGCGTGAATTTTCAAAAAATCGATGATATACGGTGTAGTTGCATTTAAAAGAAAAGAATACATATACATTTCTGAATAAAAATTTGTTAGAACTCGTTGAGCGATGACGCACAGGAATGCTTAATTGTACAAATCGTGAATTTCTAATCACCGTTTTGTTTTGCATGATCAACTCCTGTGTAAATACAACGAAGTTGTCGGGTACGGGTAGAGCAGTTACGGGTATGGGTTCTATTCTTTTTTAATTTACCCGAAAATCGGAAGGTTCTAGTCGAAAACCCACAAAACTTTAATGAAGAAGTACAGAAATTTAGTTAAAATACATGAAGGTTTAAAAAAGGATTACTTGAGAACATAATGATAATTTGACATTTTCAGCCAAAAAAACAAAAGTTTTTAGCTGGAAAACAGAAAAGAGAAAATTTTTAGGCATAAGTCGGGTACGGGTACGAAAATGGTACCCATGCATATCTCTAATGTATGAGGGAAGTAGGAACGGCCACTCCCTTATTCAGAATTTTCCTACGGGAACCGTCTCCGCCTTAGAATACCTTCTTTTTTTATTAAAGTTTTATTTCTGTTGTCTCGGAAGCCTTTAGGAAAATACTGAAATTCGTACTATCTCGGAGGATTTAAGAAAAATTCTGCTCCTCTTTCAAAAAATCCTGGATCCACCGCTGTCTTATGGAAATACGATACATCTACATACATTCATTTAGAATCTCAGTTTTCCTGTTGCTATATATAAGTGTAAGAGACTAGTATACTACAATGGTACTAATGAACAATACTTAGTCGACCATAGCTAAGTGGATCTTGGGATTCATCAACAGAACAAAAATCTGACTTAAAAAGGAAAGAGAAATAGAAACGCAGTCTAACGTGTTAGAATTATATTTTGATTAAAAGTGTTATTCGAACGAGTATAAACGCAATCAGAAAGCTAACTCGTTCAATTTTTAAATAGTTTGAACGATTTTCGATTAAGAAGAAGCATTATCAAACGTTATAAATTCTAACTCATTATAATCACAGAGTATGAAATATAACGCGCATTAGATTTTTAAAATTCTTTCTACTCAATGAGTTTGAACGCAATTTTCATATTGTTTTATAAAACTGCGTCCGGACAAATTAGAATTAATTTACAGTCCCATATAAATTTGAAAAATAACCCATTCAAAACATTTAACTAGTGCGCACGCTTTAAAATTTTCTTTTATTTAACGGCTGCTAACACGTGTGTTAGAATATCAAAATTATTTCATGGATATGCACAATAGTTTTTGACTAAACTGTTATTTGCCTTCTTTTATTTGAACCTCATGCCTGGTTCTCTTTTAAGCCTGTATTGATCAACTGCATGATGACATAGTTCCTCTCTTTTTAAATGCTCTACTTTAGTTTTAAACCTTTTTCACAGCATAAACCAATGCACTTCGAACAATAACTCTAAACTATAAATAGCAATAATAAATATCATGATATTTTTATATTCTATTAGAGACAATATTGCTGAGAGTAGCGCTTGCATCAAAAGGGTATACTAATACATATGTAATACTTAATATTTGACAAAATGAAATCCAATTTTTTTTTCAAATTATCGATAGAACAAATCTTTTCTTCTCAATATGGTATATAATAGATTATTTCTGTAACTTTTTTTAGTGACATCCGAACGACCTCGACAGATCGATAATGGTATAGCGAATGATGAGTCAAATATGGCTTTAACACCAGTCGAATCACGAGCCAAAGTACATACGGCAAAATGATCTTTTGTGAAGATATAATAGACTTTTGTTATTTAATTTCAGCTCAATCAACATTTTATGAAAAAAATACCACCCGGAAGCGAAGCAACAAATGTTCTTATTGGTGCTGTTGATTTTTTAACAACACCCGTCTACGCATTTGTTCGTTTGGCCAAAGGAGTTCATTTGGGTATTTATTCTCTACATATTGTTCATATATGAACATATTTTTATCTAATTCTCGCTCCTTTTAGGTGACTTAACTGAAGTACCCCTTCCAACACGATTCCTTTTCATATTACTGGGGCCTCAAAATGAGCTGCCACGTTATCATGAAATTGGACGATCAATATCAACGCTGATGTCAGATGAAGTTAGTCAGTAGGATTGCTCAATTAATGCATTGACGACTACCACCTTCTCCTATTTTAGATCTTTCATGATGTTGCCTATCGAGCGCATGGTAGAAATGATTTGCTGGCAGGTGAATAAGGTGACGTAGATCATCACTCTGCGTAAACTCAGACAATAATTGATTTCATTTTTTTTACATTTTTTTCTTCTAAACTTGAAAAAACAAGATTTTCTATTCTCTATAAATACGAAATAAGATCGCTTGATTGCACGTTTTGTGGAGGATACCTCTTCGAGGATTTTTCAAAAATTATATGTTTTAATAGAAGTTTTCCCTATAAGACTTTACGTCTCATCTTTTACCATTCCTTTCACGTACTGACTAAAATGTATCAGCTAATGTGATTTAAGGGCTCCCCTCAGAAATGGTGATTTTCGGTCAAAAAATCGGTTTTGAGATACGCACGTGAAAAGATAGTCTGAAGTGTCGACTTTCAGAATCTGTATCGCTTTTGGTTACAAAAGTGATTTTTCGCGGATTTTGAGCAAGTTTTCTACGAGCCTCGAAAAATCGGATCTTCAAATAATAGTTTTTCTTGGATACTTGTACAATTAAAACTTTTCTGAACACACAGATTTGTAGAGTAAACGTTTCTGATCAAAATAAGACCTTGCATAACTCTGTATGACCTTGCATCAAAAAGTTACAGGCATTTTCCTAGAAGTCCTAAAACTGAGCATTTTATACAGCGTTTCCTCTACATGGAAGTTATACCTGAAGTGTGTCCAAAGATTTTTAATAGCGGTTTGTCGTAGAGAGCTCATCCTTTTTTTGTTTAAAAGAGGAAAAGAAACTACATGAAGTAACAAGCGCCGATTTTTGAATCAGATCCTAGTTTTTTGTCAAATAGAGGATTTAGAAAATCTGGAAGGCTTTTTCAGGTTTTGGAGATTGTTGGTTACCTGAAAAACTAATAAAGGCTTAATTAAACAAATGGAGCCTGTCAGTCCATGTAGTTAGGTGTCTAGTTTAAAATAAAACAAACCCGAACTCTCCGGCTTGAAGTATATTAAAAAATCTTGGAACACACTTCAGGGTCCTTGATCTCTGGAAAAATCCTGAACCGTAAGACTTGGAGACAAAAAAATTTTTTCATTCTCGTAACTCATTGTGCCTAACATTTATGGAAAGTTTCGTCAAGATCAGATGTACAGTGTCGGAGATAATTTCTGAGGGGGTTCCCTTCAGAAACTAAATTAACTCTTCGCTTTAAAAACTTCTTTCACCTGGAAAATACTCTATTTTTAATCATCCGGATTATATGATCTGTTCAATTTCTCGGAAATAGCTCAATTACGAATTGATACTGAAACTTATGTAACGTATAGGTATTGATGATTTCCTCGATCACGTTATCGTGTTGCCTCCTGGTGAATGGGATCCAAACATTCGAATTGAACCACCAAAAAATGTACAGAAAAGAGTAGGTATCCATTTAATTGTTTTTCCATCACTTGTCATAAAAAATGCTTCTCAAGGAAGAACGTCTTGATCGCACGAAAATTAATGGTGTAACACAAATGCTAGAAGAAGACCTTCCAGAACATGAAGCTGATCCTACTTTAGTTAGAACCGGAAAGTATGAATAGTTTTTTATACTAGTTGATTTCTGATTTCTAATCAAGTGTCTGTCAGTTAGGTTTTGTGGTGGTCTTATTCAAGATATAAAACGAAAACTCTCGTTTTATTGGTCCGACATACGCGATGCTTTCTCATTTCAATCAGTTGCTGCAGTCATATTTCTCTATTTTGCTTGTCTCAGTCCAATTATCACATTTGGTGGCCTGCTCAGTAAAGCAACTGATAACAATATGGTAACCAGCGGCTTGTATATGCTTGCAATATTCAGTTACCATTTTTTCACGTTATTTAGGCAGCTTTTGAAAGTTTATTATCCGGTGCTATATGTGGCTGTTTATATCATTTATTTGCTGGTCAACCGCTAACCATTGTGGGAAGCACTGGTCCAGTGCTCGTATTTGAAACTATCGTTAATCAGTTTTGCAAGTAACGTTTGACCTGATTTTCGAGTGCTATTTTCTTGATAAAAAAATTAGAAGTTATCAAAGACCTCAGTATTCTAGGACTCATGGATTTGACTACATGGGCTTTCGTGTATGGGTAGGACTGTGGACATCCGCGATTTTGTTGATTATGGTTATGACGGATGCAAGTTATTTGGTTAAATATATCACACGATTTACCGGTATTAGTATTCAACAAGCGAGAAAGTAATCATCATATTTCTTCGTCATTTATTTTCTAGAGGAAAGTTTTGCTGCTTTAATTGGTATCATATTTATTTACGAAGCATTCGATAAAACAATTGACATCAATAAATCTTATCCATTTCGTTTAAAAACCGAACATTTATTGCCAGACAATTGTAGTTGTATAGGAGGCAATCTTGGAAACTTAACAGCCAAATATGGATTATCATTTGATGTAAGATTTGGAGTCTCAAATATATCAAATAACGTTTCTTATTTGTTTTAGGAATGTATGAGACAAGATTTACCATTGTTATCCGGTGATACATGTCCACAAACAAAAGAGAATGCCATTCCCAATGTTTTTTTATTTTCACTTATGTTATTTTTATCCACATTTGTCATGGCCTATACGTTTAAAAATTTTAAATTTACAAGGTTTTTACCAATGGCGGTACGTAACCGAAACATAAACGTAGTCTGTTCTCTATTGGCGACCGTTTATATTTTTAGCTAAGATCAAAAATAAGCGATTTTGGTGTTGTATTAGCAATTGCTCTTAATGTTTTAATTGATTTTCTTGTCGGTATTACTACACCAAAATTAGAAGTGCCACAAAAATTTGAAACGACCTTAAAGGGACGAGGATGGTTTATAAGTCCATTCAACCGAAATCCTTGGTGGTTATCGTTGGCTGCATTTCTTCCCGCTCTGTTGGTAACGATCTTAATATTTATGGATCAACAGATTACTGCTGTTATTGTCAATCGAAAAGAAAATAAATTAAAAGTACATAAAATTTATCATATACGATTTGTAATTTGGAATTAAGTGTGAATTTTTGAAATTTAATTTAGAAAGGTTGTGGTTATCATTTGGATTTGTTAATTGTCGCTCTTTGTATTGCCATTAATTCGTTAATTGGTTTACCTTGGTTCGTTGCCGCAACTGTATTATCAATTAATCATGTAATTAGTTTAAAACTTGAATCAGAAACAGCAGCACCCGGAGAAAAACCACAATTTCTCGGCGTTCGAGAACAACGTGTTACAGGTGTGTTTGAGTACAAGAAACAGAAGGACTTTTGTTTTACTCAATATATCGTTTATTTCAGGATTCATCGTATTTTTATTAATTGGTCTATCAGTATTTCTGACAAATTTTCTTCGTTTTATTCCTATGCCAGTTCTATATGGCGTTTTTCTTTATATGGGTATATCGTCGATGAAAGAAATTCAATTAATATCAAGATTATTGTTAATGTTAATGCCTGAAAAATATCAGCCGGACATGGTTTATCTGAGACACGTACGAACAGTCCGTGTGCACATATTTACCATCATCCAACTGACATGTTTGATATTACTATGGGTTATTAAATCGGTTAAAAAAATATCAATACTATTTCCAATTATGGTACGTTATTACTTTTTCGTGAGATCAACAAACAGTTGTAAGAGTTTACATAGTATATTTACAGGTATTAGCTCTAGTGGGTGCACGTAAAGCGATGGATTACATCTTTACACAACGAGAATTATCTTATTTGGATGATGTGATGCCAGAATCAACGAAAAAAGCTGCAGAGGATCGAGGAAAAAGCGATGAAGATGATAATCCAGTATGTATACTGATATAAACCACTGATAGCAATGATATTCATCTTTTCTCATTTCAAATATAGAAAAAAAATAGTAAAGATTTCACTGGTGAAATTCGTATTCCACTTGCTGATGGAAAAATTGTTAAAGTTAATGGAGATAATGTCAAGGTAAGTGGTCATACGCATGTTTTAATCAATACAAGTAGAAAAAACTGTATATAGTTCATATTGTTATCGAGTTTGGGAGAGAATGGGCATTATTTACCATATTTAATAGGGCATATTACATGTTATGTTTTTTTTTCTTCATTAGATTGATCCTTCTACTGGCATTATAAATATTTCTGATGAAGTTGCTAAAACATTTTTATGGAAATCAATAGCAAACGTTAAAGAAACTAAAGATAATAGTAGTAATAAACAGAAAAGATCATCTGAATCGACAAAAACACGTGGATCAGGCATTAAGAGAAGGTAAATTAATAATAAAATTGAATTGTTATATGACGTTTATATATACAGCATTAACACCGAAGCCAGATACTTGTTTAGTTTACGATTTGCCACATAAGTCGAATTTCAGTTGGATGTTGAATGCCACTGTATACCAAAATGATATCTATGGGAGAGAAAGCGGACATAAACCCAACTTGCGGACTGTTAAGAGTCCATCTACGGATGAGCTGAATGTTTTGTCAGCAACAATGCCTGAAGATTTTTCTGCAATGAGGATATAATTCGATCAATGCAAATCGAAGAGTTCATTTCTCAAATTAAAACCAGACTATGAACTTTGATGTACTGTCATAAGTTTTTAAACGTCCAATGAAGCCCACAGAAGTCCAACAAAATTGCTTGGAATTTGGACTTTACGAGCCTTAAAAGCTCACTAAAATCTATTAAAGTCAACGAAAGTTCAGTTTTTTCCCGTTGATTATACCACCCTATCTAATGCATTTAGAAACACAGGTTGATATAAGCTTTATTCTTGTCAGAATACAAGCAGAAAAATAGTCCGTTATACGGCGTGGCCAGCTTACTATGCTACCGTAAAGGAGTTCCGTAACGTTTTTCCATCATTTTGTTTTGTTTATAAATCGTAAACCAAACGACGCAGACAGCTGTGACACGTCTTAAATTGAAGAAAAACTGCTATGAACATTTTAAAGCGCGTCTCAGCTCTGTAACATATCTTGTTTTGTTGTCTTCAATATTGTCAATATTTCTATCAGATCTTGAAAACAAGATATGTTATAGAACTGAGACGCGCTTTAAAATGTTCATAGCAGTTTTTTCTTCAACTTAAGACGTGTCACAGCTGTCTGCGTCGTTTGGTTTACGATTTATAAACAAAAGAAAATAGTGGAAAAACGTTACGGCACTCCTTTACGGTAGCATAGTTAGCTGGCCGTGCCGTATTTTAAACTAAAACTATCACAAAACACAAAATCAATTTTGTACGAATTGAGATTCGAACACATGAACTTTGTTTTGGAGTAAACTGCAAATGTTATAATCTCTCTCTCTCTCTTTTATTGTTTATCGCGGGTTTTGTTTTTCTAGAATCAGAAACTTGAGTCTTAATTTTATTGGCGATGATCATGAAGAACGACCGTTAATGAAAAACGTTACAAATACTCAAACTTCTACATCGCAAAGTAATCAACAACAACCAACATCTCCTATGCCATCAATTATCATTGAAAGACCAGATTCGTCGTCCGTTGTTGAAAGAACTAAAAGTATTATTTAATTAGTAGTCAAGATAACGCTATTTTAGAATCATATCGGACGTAAACAAAATAGTATATCTCGTTTCTCAACTTCTATACAATATTTATAAGTGTATATCCCGTTTTTGGTATATAATAATAATCTCGTGCATGATAGATCTATGCAAATATACTTATTCGATTTTTTTCTTCATCGTAATTTAAACGTACTCAGCTATCAAGAGCGACAAAAAACGGAAAACTCTGATATTTCATAGTTCGAACAATTTGTTCAGATTTTTGTTTACGGTACTTCAATCATGACAGTCCTTTTTTTCTTTTATATTTTGTATTTCTAAATGAATAGATTTATTTTGCAGTTTTCCTTCTGTTTGTTTTTAAGTGTTAATTGCAATTCTTCCGTTTTACTGGCTACATCTTTTTTCAGATTTCCATCATCCATACCCACACGTGAAGGCCTCCTCTCTTAGCGTTTGTTTTCGCCTTTTATGTCTCTAAATGTCTTTTGTATTTTTTATTTTTGCCTTTTAATGTATTCTTCTATTGTTTTTTCTGTAATCAGTATGTAATGTACGAATGAATGATGAAGCGTAGCCGTCTTCTGAGAAAAAAGTTTAGCCAAAAAAATTAAACAATGATACCAATAAAAGAAATAAAAGAAATATGTAATAAATTCGCTTGAGAGGTTGAGTTGTAACAGAAGAAATTTCACACATTTTATAATATTGAAATTTTTATTTATGAATTGTGCATTTCAAACGATAGAATTCACGGAATATCGAAACTACATTAAAATATATTATGAATTAAATGACACTCACTAAAAAATGTTGTTCGTTCATCGTTTTCAAAGATTCTGTCAAAATAATTTTTCGGCATCTTCTTTACCACTGTCTTTACTGAAGAATCATCTTCCCGTTTTGGTCCTTTATGATTTTTCTTGTATCTGTTATATTCGACATCTGGTATACATCTTACTTCGCCTTTTGCTGCTGATGATGATATAAGTTCAGTAACATAATTTCAACGGTTCACTGGAAACATCGTCACGAAATTTATGACTTGAAAAGATAATATTGTCCCAACGTGGCTGTAAAACGTAAATAAAATGGTTTCCCATCCAGAAATGAAAAGGAAGGGGGTTAACTGGGCCAGAAAACTTGAACCGTATTTTTTCGCTTATTTTGACTTGACTTTTGTAGAAAAAACATTTTTGCACACTTTCCAGTTGTTCTTACGGAAAACAAGCTCAAAATACGCTTTTAACGTTGGTTATTTTGAGATTCCATCAGAGGATGTCGTTGTTAGAACAAATAATATTTTTGAAAAATCCAGCATAGGTTTCACACAAACCTTGATATGAAAAAATAGCCAGTGAAAAACTGAATAAAATACTCTATAAATAATCCTTATACATAATTTCACTAGGAAGAAATTATTTTTTCAACAGTCAAATTGACCTAAAAGACGATCTCAGCGATGTTTTGAGTACCTTTTTCTCCGTATGCAAACGGGGATCCAACTTGTATTCGGTATAGAAAAATATCCCTTAATTTACTCTACAATATTCTAGATAAAGGACCTTTAACTATTACTGACCGAGTTACTTATAGTTTCTACAAGAGACAAATTGTACATAAAAGAGGTTATCGATAGATATTTCTTTTTCTTTGCAGTAAGAAAACGTGTTGAAGTACGGGGATTTTGTCGAAATGAACGTTATTCGAGCTACCTTTTCCCCTTGATGTCATAAATGTTTTATTCGGGGAGAAAATATAAACGACTAGGTAGAATGTAACTTTTTTGAATTCTGTTAGAATGGTGTGCTAAGTTGTTTTGATAAATGATTCACGATATATTTTGGTGTTACTTGAAGAAAAAGACTTTTCTATTTGAATAAGTGGATAGTGTATAAATACTATACACGACCCAACACAAAACATATCTATTGTTAATTGCGCGTTTTTTGTTTATTGACTGCTACAAGATGATGACAGAAAAATGTGATAGATGTCAAGGTTGTTACAAAATACTGGGTAATAGTCGTGTAAAAATAGTTTCTAGTACATTATTGCGAGTATTTATCTCTATCAGCACACTCTAAAAAAAAGCCGTAGATTAATCGGCCTGTTCAGGCATTACGGACTTACGCTTTTTTTTAGTCCGTAGCAATTTTTTCTGTAACGGAAGATGCTGTGAGGACCGTTCTTGCGTCAGCTGATAGAGCTCGGTGAGTTCTATTTGCAACCAACATATTGTGGGTTT